CCCCCCCCCCCCCCCAATGAGATATCAGTAGGATAGATTATTTCACTCAGATAAACATATTTATATATATTGTTTTATTAATAATAATAATAATCAAATAATTAATGTAACCTGTCTAACCTGCCTGCTTGATCAAAATGACCTAACAAAACACAGTATTATCATTATGTAACAGAGTTATTTCTTTAACATTTACATTGTAAGGTAGGACATAATTATGGAAACTCTCTCTCTATTTTGGGGATTTGGTGGTAAGCCCAGGCGGCATGACAAGCCAGCAAGTTCAACCGCCAGACCACAAACACAACCCAGTCCAACCACAACTCTACCTGATGGGAAATTCCCCCTAGATCCGACCTCACCCGTTACACGATGGCTTTCTAATGAGAAGACTGGATGTAGCATTAAACAGGACATTGCTTCAAATTAGTTTCTAATCCCATACTCAAACAATCTGGACCTCGGTTCTCAGAAAGCAAAGCAAAGCCTTAAGCTTTTTGTATAAAGAAACCTTTTAGTTAGCATTATTAGTCATCAAAATGTAAAGTATGAACTTCCAGCCCTAAAAATGTTTTAACTGAATCAATATTGTGTGGGTTTCATGAGCCTGTAAATTAATATCTCCTTTGAGACATGTTGTATAACATGCAGCTGACAAGGTACATTTGTCTTTGACTGTTCCTTTGTGTGGAACTCTCTCAAGCCAAAAGGCAAAGTGAGTAAGTAATTAATCTTTACCATGGCAGAGTTTCTCGGCGAGAACACGGAGATCCACAGATCGAGGAGCTGAACATCGGGGAGGCCGCCGAGCCAGAGGGACGGGGAACTGGTACGGAGGGTTTGGCTGGTTCATTCCATCAACATTTAGGAATGCTTATCTTGTAAATCCATTTCATGACTTTTACATATGGTAAATTTTATATTTTCCCCTTAAAATAACTTGAAAATGAACCAAAGCTTTAAAAAAAAAAAGTTAAGTTATAAAGGGTTGAGGGGCATGTTCTGTCAAAAAGTTATTAAAAAGACCACATTAATGTACTCACCTCCATGTTGTTTAAAAGTTGTTTAAAATCACATTTGTTGCAAATCCATCTCTATACATTTTGGACAATATCAAAGGATAATCTTGTCAATCAATCACTTGCTATGTGATATATATATATATATATATATATATATATATATATATATATTTTTTTTTATTTATTTTTTTAATTATTATTTTTTTTAATTGGCTTTAGAGTCTCTGATGTGCATCTTCTCATTTTTTTTATTTTGTCATAGATACTTTGCACTTGAACATGGTGTGTTAATGTATCAAGCTATAGAAACAGTTGATCACGTTGAGGTTTATTGTCAGTTGAGGTAGTTTTACCTTAATTGGTTAGTATATTGGCAAATGTGCAGGTTTGTTTACCCATTTGTTCAGAGTGAAGGCACATAGCTAGTGAAATACTGATACACTATTAGTCAAAGGTTTGGAGTCATTACATTGTTTTTTGTTTGTTTTTTAAAATAAATTTATATTTTTATCCAGCAGTGATGCATTAAACAAAACAAAAGTGACAAAGACTTACATCATTACAAATGTTATATTTCACATAAATGCTGTTCTATTAAGCGTTCTATTCATCAAAGAATCCTGAAAAAAGATGTCATGGTTTTCACAAAATATTAAGCAGCACAGCTGTTTTCAATATTGATAATAATAATAAGTTGGCCATAAAATTAGTATATTAGAATGATTTGTGAAGGATCATGTGACAATGAAGACTGGAGTAATGATGCTGATAATATTTCACATTATGACTCTTTTACTGTATTTGTTCTTTAAAAAAACATTTTGTAAAAACTTACTGACCCCAAACTTTTCATGTGTACTACAGTATTGCACAGTAGTGTATGTTAATTGGGCACACCTTCATGTAAAGGAAGATGAACAACTTGATGAACAAACAAAAAACCCCAGTGATGGGATGGTTGCGTTCATCTCCAAAACTTAATCCTGGTTATCTCCTCTCTACCACTAGATGGCATTATAAATCCAGGCTTGTGTGTAACTGCATCTTGTGTCATTTACTGACATTTAGTATTGAGTTCAGTCACCACTCAATCTGAATCACCATCATCATCATCATCATCATCATTAGAAAGCCAATGTATTAATGTAGAACTGGTCTAAAGATGTTTTGGTATTAATGTTGAGAATTGGAAACAACATATGTTACAGCTGTGTCTGAGCAGAATGGTCTGTATTTCAGGAGCAGCTGTGACTGATATTGATGGAGATGGACAGCTGGATCTTTTGGTGACGCATGGGGAAAGTGCAGCTCAACCCATCTCTGTGTATCAAGTCACTCAGGTGAGATAGTGTTTTAGACTGGTCAGCCACATTTAAATAGGCAAAACCCTAAGGATTTCCTTGAGAAATAAGTTACGCTTGGTTCTGGTATCAACTTTGTCTCAAATGTTTTTTCTGAAATTCCTTAAGAGAAGTAAAAGTGCGGTATTCAGAAATGAGACAAACCAATAAGCAAGGTAAAGCCCCGTTCACACCAAGAACGATAACTATAAAGATAACGATATTAGCATCCACACCAGCGAACGATATCGTCTGTTTATTCTAAGCACACTCTCATCTGCCGCTTTAAAGTCTCGGGCTTGTTACAGCAGGATGGATTCTGATTGGCTTTTGTCATCAGCTGGAGAAAAATCATTTTGAAAGTGATTCCAACTATATCGTTTCTCTTTGTCTTTATCGTTATAGTTGTGGTGAGGACTCTGCTATTCTTTAATACTGAGACATTTTTTTAGAACTATATCTTTATCGTTATCTTTATAGCTATCGTCCTTGGTGTGAACGGGCCTAAAGTGGCCACTTAGGGCCTGGGGAATCGGGGCCCCATCTGATATTGGTGAAACATATTTGGCAAACGCTCTAGTGTGTATTTGTGTTCTGGAGAGCGTCAAAGTTTCACTCATTGCTCAAAACGCCAAGTTTTTGTCAAGTGCTGAGTTCTTCTGCAAGCTCGCGAATCCTCTCATTATAACAATGTGTAGATACAATGCAAATGAGAGATTGATTGTGCATTGATTAACAGAACGTCTGGAGATCGCGATGAACTTAAGTGAATGACAGCTTTTATATAATCCTTTTTGTATAATCCTGACTGTCTCAGAACCTCAGAGAAGAAAGCATTGTTTCGTGTCCTGATGTTTCAAAATGACTCCCTTGTGTGCTTTTCCTATGCGCGCACTGGTGCAAACTGCTGTGCACTCATACAAATGCACGAATGCGACTGGAGACTTTTGCTTAATAATAGATTGCTTTTATGATTTGTTTCTTGGCAAACCCTACTGTATGCCTTAAGAACACTTGGAATATGGAACCATTGTTTTAGTAAAAAGATTAAAGAAGGTTACAGTTCATTAAATGGACAAGTGCAAGCATGTGGTGTGAACGGGCCTAAAGTGGCCACTTAGGGCCTGGGGAATCGGGGCCCCATCTGATATTGGTGAAACATATTTGGCAAACGCTCTAGTGTGTATTTGTGTTCTGGAGAGCGTCAAAGTTTCACTCATTGCTCAAAACGCCAAGTTTTTGTCAAGTGCTGAGTTCTTCTGCAAGCTCGCGAATCCTCTCATTATAACAATGTGTAGATACAATGCAAATGAGAGATTGATTGTGCATTGATTAACAGAACGTCTGGAGATCGCGATGAACTTAAGTGAATGACAGCTTTTATATAATCCTTTTTGTATAATCCTGACTGTCTCAGAACCTCAGAGAAGAAAGCATTGTTTCGTGTCCTGATGTTTCAAAATGACTCCCTTGTGTGCTTTTCCTATGCGCGCACTGGTGCAAACTGCTGTGCACTCATACAAATGCACGAATGAGACTGGAGACTTTTGCTTAATAATAGATTGCATTTATGATTTGTTTCTTGGCAAACCCTACTGTATGCCTTAAGAACACTTGGAATATGGAACCATTGTTTTAGTAAAAAGATTAAAGAAGGTTACAGTTCATTAAATGGACAAGTGCAAGCATGAGGGACAACTTCTTTATGTTTACAGAAGTGACGTAATGACGCAGTGCCATGCTCGAATTTCCCGCGAAAACCTACCCGTACCACTCAAATTAGAAGACATTATTATAAGCTAACCGTTGTGAATCGGGCTAAAGTAAGGTGATAGTTTTGAACACTGGCTGGTTATGAACTTTGAATATGAATATTGATTTAGGATCATTTTTAACCAAAAAAAGTTACGGACTGCAGCTTTAAGAAAGGAACAGCTATGAAATTGTCCAGACCTGTAAAATATCTATTTCATAAGTGCATCCACCGGCTCGGAAATGTTCAGGGTCGCAGAGTAGCGGGAAAACAAGTATTCGCTCTGCTGACTCATTACAGAGAAACAATTATGATGTAACACCAGGTCATGTTCAGTGGGGTTGCTTCGGGACTCAGTAACATAATCCTCCGCGTGGAGCCCGGTTCCTTGAATATCCTCATAGACTGGAGGTCCGGAGAGGAGCCTGCAGGTGCAGCAGCCAGTGGCAGCAGACTGGGACCTTTTCCCCACGGCTCGGCCATGTTACAGATGCTTGGAGGCACATGGCTTCATCTGGGAGCTATCGGACAGATTTGTGGCAGGAGTAGGCTGCCAGCTGGAAGCTCGGATTGCTCTGAATGTGCTGTGAAAAACAAAACGATAGCCATCAGTGGTCACTGGATCACCCCAAGGGCTCGTAAATATGTGCGTACGAGTTCAGGCCTCTCGTCAATGTTTCTTTCAGTAAGAGTGTTTGTAAATTGATGTAAAAATATCTGCACTACAAAATAAATTCATAGTACAGTTTATGGTGTCAGATTATGGAAGTCAGATTTCTTAAAAACATGTTTTTTAACAAATTCTGAATTTTTGTCTCACAATTGCAGCTTTATTTCTTGCAGTGGCAGTGTTGTCTCACAATATGACTTTATATCTCACAATAGATCAACCTTTTCAAAGTTTGCAAAAAAAGAAAAATCCAAGTATGAATTAGGTGCGTTTCAATCAAGTTGTTTGAGTGGATGACGGTGGTATTGGTAACCTAGTAACCAACAGTAAATAAAACACCATCAGCGGAAACAACCGATTAGTCACGTGGGTTTAATATTCGTTACATCTGAATTTATTCTGCAAATGCGTTTCCATCTCCCATTATTCACATTAACTCATTTTTGCTCAAGTCAAAAACCACCTCAAGCGAGCATAAAAACTTTTTTGTGAATTAAGTTTTTTTTTTCTTCTTCAAAATTGGGCATTTCCATCACTCATTTCTGATGTGATACTTCAAAATGTGCATAAAAACAGGGTGATGGAAATATAGCTTGTGGTACCGCACAATTGCACCTTATATTAATTTCTTATTTTTGATTTTGAGATATTTTGAATATTTCGATTTATTTGCCAAAAATTACTATGGTAAATCTCTCTTTTTTTAAATTTTTAGATTAAATTATTGTTTTTTAAATATATTTTAAGGTTTTTAGATCTTTAAAACTTTTATATTTCTCAGATAAAACCATCCCATGATACTCCTAAAACATCAGAAATTAAGTAAAATTTTAAATGTAATTAAAAAATATAATTTTTTATATATATATATATATTTTATAGATTTTTAGACATTTTGAATGTTTAGATTACCATGATACATCTCAACAGAACAAAAATATGGATTTTTATTTAATAAATGAAATAACTTGTTATTTAGATTATTAGATATTTAGAATTTCTGATTTCTCAAACTAACTAACTAAATTAATTAATTAATCATTATTTAAATACCATGGTACTGTTTGTTAGTGAATATTATCAGTATTGCATTCAGTTATCCAAACACTGCAATCATCTATCATTTTCCACATGCAGAATTTGCAGATTGCCTTTATTAAATAAAAAGCCAATAGGTGCTCAGTATGTCTTTCCCAACTAAACTGCATTTTTCAGTAACCACTGGTGAAATGTCATGCTTTTTGTCTCGAGAGGCACCTGAGCCAGCCTGGGCCCTGCCAGGAGCCCCGTGGATTTGTTTACCTAAGAAATGTCACTTTAATTAAGAACTGGGAAGGCAGTCAGCTTCTCTCCTGCTTGACTAAAGGCTATAATGGAAAGAAAGTCTAATGCCCACCATGTCCCTCCTCATTTCAGCTCCTTTGAAGTTCTGCCTTCCTCCTCCACCACATTCATTTCCAAAAGATGATCTCTCCGTTCATGATCACTATGACAGTCTCCTCTAACGGCCATGTTAATTACCGTCCCCGCCGTCTGTGAGAAAGTGTCTCTGACTATTAGATTGAAGGTAGTTAATGGATGCTTCTGTAAACCTTCTTAAATGAAGTGCTTTCCAACCACTGTGCCATTTATATGGCTCCTTATTGCAGCCACCAAACAACAGACAGATTTCATCGGACTGGCATGTGAGAATCTCATTGCTTTAATGCCTCAGTGGCTGCTATGCCAGAAACGCTCTTGGCCTGTGAACCCCACACACCGGCAGTCATGAGAAACCGGTTCTGCCGATCAAAGGAGATGTGTTCAGGCCTCGCTGCTCACGAAGCTGTCCACAGCTGAGACTGAACACATACTTGTGCATTTGTTTAAAAGACTACGTGGTCTGTGCCAAACCAGAGCCTATTCCAACCTGGCTATTGCCGAGAAACTTCTTGGGAGGGCCCTTTCTCCAGAATGGTATTTTTCCATGGAGAAATGGACATTAAATAAAGGAATCATTCATTATGTCTCCTAAGCCTGAGGGGAAGTTATAAAGACGGGCTGTTCGTAAGGTACTAAAAGGATTGCTGCTTTGCCGCCCTGACAGGGAAAGATGTGGCCACCAGTGTGGAAGTGTTCTGGCCAGATGGACGTTCTGTGGCAAGACCTCTGGAGCCCAGTGATATGAACAAAGTGATGGAGATCTATTACCCTGAGAATGAGGAGGAGGCGACCCCAGTGGTGGAGATCGAGGTACGTACCCTGCCTGGCATACTCACGTGTTCTTTCTTTATTTGAGAGATTTAATTGTTGTAAGTAATGTCTATTTTTTTTTCACAGTGTGGACCAGGATTTGAGGTCAATGAAAATGGCCGCTGCACTGGTAAGTTTTTGAGCAATGTGACCTTTAACCTCCCAGAGGCCTAAACTCCATAATCCATTGCAACAAATGTACTCTCATTAAAAAATTTTTTTAATAATGTTTATTATTTCTAACAAATAGGTTTTTGCTCTAAACTAACCAAATTTAAAAATAATTAGTTTATAACTTCTTCACAAGAGAGACTTGGTGTTGTTTCAAAACAAAAGTAAACATATATCGGTAGCCGATGCAGATACCGATTTTTTCAAAATGACAGATCCAAAATTTCAATGTAATAATCTTCGAGCCACTTCTTTATCACTCTTGCTTTGTGATATGGTGCTCCATCATGCTGGAAAATGCACGGATCATCACCAAATTGCTCATGGATCGTTAGAAAAAGTCGCTCTTGCAGGACGTTTTGATACCATTCTTTATTCATGGCACTGTTTTTGGGCAGAATTATGAGAGAGCCCACTCACTCCCTTGGTTGAAAAGCAACCCCACACATGGATGGTCTCAGGATGCTTCACTGTTGGCACAACACAGGACTCATGGTAGCGTTCCCCTTTTCTTCTCCGAACAATCGATTTTCCAGATGTCCCAAACAGTCGGAAGGGAGCTTCATCAGAGAAAATAACTTTGCACCAGTCTTCTACTGCCCAATCCTTGTACTTCCTGCAGAATTTCAGTCTGTCCTTGATGTTTTTCTTGGAGAGAAGTGGCTTCTTTGCTGCCCTTCTTGATACCAGGCCGTAGTCCAAAAGTCTTGGCCTCACTCTGCCATTCCTGAGCAAGCTCTGCACTGGTGGTGACACAATTCCGTAGCTGACTCCTCAGGAGGAGATGGTCCTGGTGCTTGCTGGACACTCTGGGACGTCCTGAAGGCTGGTTCTTTCAGATGCATGTGAAGCCATTTTGCGCTTCTTCCAGCCTTTTATACCAATCATTCTGCTCTTACAATCTAATTAGCATTAGTAGAAGTCCAGAATCAATTATGCAGCTTTAATCACCAATACTGGGGGTAAAATGAAAAGCAACATGTAATATTTACTAAATTCACAAACCAGAGGGCTATAGATTGCATAAACATGATAATCAAGGAATATTAAGCAAATAATATTATCAAGAACAAGAGAAAACTGCTCATTGCTTTGGGCTAGATAACTTTATCTAATAAACCATCCAAAAATGAAAAATGAAAACAAAAATATGCTTAAAATGTAAACAGTATTTAATCTAATAAATGTTTATTAAGTAATTACATTGCTACACCCCATCTAACTTTTCCATATTCCTCTCAATCCTTATGGGTCTCGCAGCCTAATTCTTACAGCACAATGAGTTGTTGAAGCTGATAAGGTAATACAAGGATCAGAGTTAACAATGGTCAGCAAAATGCCAATCAATACCCACACTTCTTTAGTTCATGCTAATCTGCACTCTGAACAACAGATTTAATATCTTCTCACAACTGGCCCTCAAATGAGATTTATTTATTTAGCATGGTAAGCCTCACAGTCATTTACACACATTAGCATCACACCTGACTGGACATCCAGAGTAGGACACAAAACTGCTTCAGGAATGGATTTTTGGAACAAAATGGAGATGGTGTTTACACAGTGGAGGGTAGGAGAACTGACATGACAGATTTTTTGGAGATGAACATCGCAGCATTTGCCATGAGCTTTGGTTGAGTGCTATGAGTCACTTTGACAAGACGTCACGTCAGATGTTCAAGAAGAATGAGATGTCTTTCTATGTTTAGAAGCAAATTGGTGAGTGTATTCTTCTTGTTTTTGATGAAAGGGTATTTCTATTGAAAAACGCAAGGAACTTCAAATGGATGTGGGACTTTCGGCAACTTTTAAACTAGTATGACATGAGTTAACATTAAATTTAGAAAATACAACAACATGTAAATGACATACCTTTTTAAAGAACATCTTATGTGCTGTCAGGTTTTACTAAAGACACGCAGTGACAAATTAGCGCTGAAAAGGTGTGAACAGTTATTTTTGTGCTTGACTTTATTGAATATGCATTTGTAGGAGTTTCCCTTTCAGATGCAAAATGTATTGAAGGAGAGTATTCAAATGAATCACACAACGTGTTTTACTAACATTTGCGCTCATCAAATTACTGGCATTTTAACGCCCCAAAAAAGTATATCTTAAAATATATTGCGCTTGAAATGGCTGCAACTGTTGTTGCTAGGAGGAGACACCGCAGAGAACAGAGAGCGCGTGGTAGAAGGGAGAGGATTTTTCCACACGTATTAATTTATTTAGAATGCCAGAAGAACACATTATCTGAACATATCGTTTGCCAAGCCATGCTATTTTTTACTTTCAAAAATTTCATTTTTTGGCTTTTCAACATACCGTGGCTTCTTTATTTCTTTATTTGCAACTACACTAATTTGCGCTGCGCTTGGTATATTGTGCTGGTCGATATGTAAATGAGATGTTGCGTCTGTGTTCTTTAATTTGCCCATTGTTAGTAAATCACCCACAGAAATTTCCTCTCCCATCGCTGCTGTTTTGGAATTGCGCTCTCGCGCTAATTTGCCCTGTTTAGTAAAACTGGCCCCAAATCTTAAAGCGGGGGCACAATGCTGTTTCATGCATTCAGAGTTGTTTGCACTGTTAAAGAGTTGGATTCTCATGCTAAGCATGGACAAAGTTTCAAAAAACAATTTGGACGTATGACACATTACTTCTGTGGCAAAAATCTTACTTCTGGGTTCGTACAAGTTTCTGAGAGTTTTTTTTCGATCGTGGCTCTTAAACGAGGGTGGAACTCCTTATATGGTCATTTCTCCAGGAAGAGCGCGCCGGCGCACGCATCGACCAGAACGAGAGCAATATCCCGTCCATCAAAGAGCTTCATCCGGCAGCAGCGCTGCACGGGACTTGCTCGGGAAGAATGTCTCCAAAGAAGTGTGTTTTTGGTTGCAAGGGAAAGATAACTTTGTTCAGCTTCCTAAAGAACCCAGCGTTATGTAAACAGTGGATACAGTTTGTTTTTCCGGGGCAGCAACGGAGTTTCCCAAGTGTGTTTGTTGACGAACGTTTTATAAACAAGGTCCAGTTCGACGCTGGATTTGCACATCGTTTGATACTGAAAGATGGAGCGGTCCCAGCTATAAAAGATCCTGGTCATGATTCAGAACTGCAGACGATAAGTGAAACGTCATCAAATGTCTGTTTTGTTGGCATTCGGCGCTCAAGTGCTCGTCACTCTTTAGCTCCGCCCACGGCGCGCCTCCAGGAGCTCGGCTTTTTCCGGAGAGAATCGTAAAGCTGTATATTTTTTTTTACATAAATATGATAAAACTAAAGACTTTTTGGAGATATGAAGGATGCAGTACTACTCTATAGGTACTCAAGATTAACATGAGATTGGGTAAAACTGTGTGTGTTATGCCCCCTTTAAATAAAACCACAATCCATATCATTATTAGAGAGAGGGAGGCTTTTGAACAAGGTGACCTGTTTGCTGTGCACTAGTCAGAGAACTGAAGCTGATTGGCATGCCATTTGCATAATCAGGGCATACGCTAGGTGTCGGTTGGAAATCCAGCACTGATTTCCACCACTCTGCTCGCTGTGTCGACGCATAGTGCAATCAAGCCCGAGATTAAAGGTCCTCCGAAGATCAATCTCACACCACTGCACCTCTGCTCACACCGATGAATGCAGATATTTTGATACTCAATATGTGGGTTGATGCAGAGGAGAAAAAATAGACTAAAAAAAGAATTACACCTTCAGCAGAGAATGAAATTAGATCAGTAATTTTCTTTTACGTTCACCCTCGAAATTTCCACCCATCGCGCTGCGACTGTAACATTGCTTGTGCGTGACTATGCTGCCATTTGAGTTTCATTTCCTGCTCATTACAAACCTCCAGCTCTGTGAAAGATGGATATAGTCAGAACGCATTTGTGATTCTTTTTCTAAATCTCAAGATGGCAGCACATCTGATTAAATATTAGTTGATAATAACTGCAGCTAGATTTGAGAGCAGGAACTGAATTCTCCATAGTTCTGTCAGAGCTCATTGTTTTTATTACCCTTTTATCACCAATGTAATAGCGCTCGCATTCATAGGTATTTGTACACAGTACAATATGGTTCTTGAAAGTGTATGTTTCAAAGAAGATTTCAAAATTCGGATTTAAAATATTTCAGGGGTCACGTCATGTCAGAGGCTGCAGAAAATGAATTATGAAATCTCACTGAGCTCTAGTAATAAATACAATTAAATAAAATAAAAAATAATTTATTCTAGCAATTTCAGTTCTGGACAGTTGTCAGATTATTCCTAAAGATTCGTACATCTCCAAATTGCTAATTTCTTAGAGCCTTTATTTTTTAAATGTCGTCAAAACACTGATATTTTATGTTACTGTACTCATTCAAACATCTGAATACAAATGATCACCCTATTATCACAGTTCATACAAGATCTGTGGAAGGAAAAAAAAAGTGTCATCTTCAGCTTGAAGCAACAGGTGGCCTTTCTCGCTCCACGTATATCTGTGTACATTAACAGTGCATACAATTGAATAAGACCAGGTGTTAATTCACTAATGCAATAAATGTAAAACATTTTCATAAGCCTAGAAAACTGTGCAGAAAAGTGCATCAAAAAACCTCCATTAAAAAGCATCCATTGTGGAAAACCTCATACACTCTTAAAAATAAAGGTGCTTCACGATGCCATAGAAGAACCTTTTTGTCTAAATGGTTCCATAAAGAACCTTTAACATATGAAGAACCTTTCTGTTTCACAAAAGGTTATTTGTGGCGAAAGAAGGTTCTTCAGATTATAAAAAGGTAAGAAAGAGATGGTTCTTTAAAGAACCTTTGACTGAATGGTTCTTTGTGGAACCAAAAATGGTTCTTCTATGGCATCGCTTGAAGAACCTTTTGAAGCACCTTTATTTTTAAGAGTGTAGTGGAAAACAAATGGCTGAAATCTGATACAAATCATCAGATGAGTGTGATTTCAGCTTGAATACACTGTTGACATTTAGTACTAAGCTCTGGTTGAC